ATTTAATAAATGGGGGAAGCGATTATTTTCGATCGGTTAGCTCCTTGTTTGCAAATTCTTGAGTCTCTTTCGAGCGGCTTGCTCCGTAGTCTGAATTTTCTAGTTCCTTTCGAAATTCTCCAGTTCTTTTCGAGCGGTTTGCTCCTTGGCTTCCAATTCTTTAGTTTCTTTCGAAATTCTCTAGTCTCTTTCGAGCGGGTTGCTGCTTCTTCTGAAATTCTCTACGTAGTTCCTTTCGTGCGTTTTGCTCCTTGTTTGCAATTTATCTAATCTTTTTGAAAGAGATGTCTAAAATTTCTATTACACATTGTTTTCCTATAGTGGGCTGATGTCGAACAAGACAAGATCCCTGAGGCCTTCATGAGCCGGTGGTGAACCAACATGCTGATGCTGAAGAAGTATTTCGAGGGAAAGATGAAATCTATTTGGGGACAGGCTGGCTCTGCTTCCTTAGCTCTTGAAACACACAACACTCACAGCAATCGTGCAGCTTCAATCTTCGCGCCCTTTGCCGATGAACGCCAGGTAACAGATGGCGCTGTACAGGGAACCCGAACACTTAACACTCTTGAGGTGTACGGGTCGGAGACCACTTCGAGGGCTGAGGGCTGTCCCCGAAGTAATCGGTCGTTGCCTCCTTCTGCACCGGATGTCGCTTCAACTTTGCCGCACTGCCGGAAACTTGTCAGCTTAATTGAAGTCGTGTTCTCGTCAGGCCCCAGCTAGCAATGCAGGACGGCTCACCTTTCTGCATCAGCACTACGAAAACCACAATTCCAAACAGCGTCCTCAAATCACAACATTTCGGTCACGCTTCAAGCAGGTCATGTTCCAGTCGTGCGGATTGACCACGCTTCACGAATACATTAGACTACCCAATGACACAAGAACCACTTCACAGGCGGCGGTGTACTCCACTTCGCCCGTTGCACTGGTCGAGGTCGGTTATGAATCGAGGTTTCGGGTTGAATGAGTAGTGGACCATCATGTCACGAAGCAACATCCTGAACCGTCGAACCCTAAATGCTAAACCCAACAGTCCTAAACCAAAACGCTACTCCGGCAGCCTCAGACAGAAAGCTGGTCGATCGTCACGATGCATCTGCAAGGACTCGTGTTCACTAAACGTATCACTACGCCAGTTCGTGGATCGCAACACCCCTCGCCGACACTCTGAGCTGGGTAAAGCAATACATCAGGGATCATTGGGTTAGGGTCTACTGGTCCAGGGGCTCCTCATACGTTGATGGTTCCAGGCGCGTACGCCCAATGCCACCCGAAAACACCCACTCCCGAAACCCTCTGCATTAAGCCCCCGAAGTTCCCAGACCTATGGGGACATGTTGGTGAACTGCTCTTCGACTCACCCAGGGTACCTCTTGGCATCTTCACCTCGAGGGAAGGATGTCACGCGTGTGTGGTCGAGGGGTGCCATCTGCGACAAATATCTTCTGTAGAAGGTCCCCTTGTTTCACAAGGGGCGCAAAAATCTGACGAGTTTCAGCCCGGAGCCCTTCGATCCCTCCAGCACCCTCTACCTGGGTTGCAGGCCTAAACCCTGAGACCTAACCCTGGGTCCAAATTCTCCTATTTGACTCTTTGAGCGTTGGCTCGTTGTGTTTGCTATAGGTCTTGGATTCAGCGATGTCTTTCGTGGAGCGTCGTGCCTGAAAATAGCGTAGTGCATTGCAGCTGAAGTGTATCCAAGCTCAGAAGAGGAGCAGTGCTCCGTCTCGCGCCAACCCGCCGATGAGCAGCAACCTAAGCCTTTCGAGTGTTTCGAAGACCTTCAGAAGCTACTTCCGTTTATGATGCCGTCGTGAGTATAGCGACATTGGCGCTGACAGCCCGATAACCGTAATGTTACTGGTATGGGAACTAGCTGTTTCTTGTTACTCTGACAAGAAGCTGTACAAACGGAAAGCGAGAAGAACTGGCTTGTGATCGCTTCAGCTGCAACTGGAATACAGACTGATTTTCTTCAACTGTTTGTGAACATGAGTTTTGAACATGCAGTAGCACGCTCAACTCCAATGATCTGTATGGCTAAGGATTCTGGTTTGTCGCCTGCCGTCAGGCGTTCGCACTTTGATTTCACGCTTTCTTCTGATCTGCCCTGGTGTCAGCGCGCGTTCATGCGGGGAGGTAGGTTGGGGGGGAGGGGACAAAAGCGACCGAGGGGAACTTAGGATGTGAGCCCGCAGGGACCCAACACTTCCCGGAATCAGCTGCTTGGAACGGGCCCAGGCGTGCAGGGAGTTTGGGGCTCAGGGCTCTGTCAGATGACACGGCTCAGGTGGCCCTACAAGCAGGAATCGCTCTATTTGGCGCAAGCTTTGAGACACCTTCCCGGAAAGGTACACAAAAAGCGGTGCCGGCTCAGACAGCGAGAATAATTACCATAGTACCATGGGTGCACCAGCACGCCAGGAATATCTCGCGGATGCAGTGGAAGTAAAATCCAGTTCTTAACGTCCATAATCAGTGTTAACCTACAGCTCGTACCAGTTGAATCATTGGCAAAATAAGAAAAGTCAGCAACAACCGTCATGGTTCGTTGGAAGACGCCATCGTGTAACAGAAGGAAAAGTGCTTCTTCAGCAGCAATGGCAGCAGCAGAGTTGGTGTCCGTGCCAGCATCCTCGTCATCATGCTCACGGTCACTATTCAAAGCCAGCAACAGCAGCGGTGGCAGCCGCGACCGCCACAAACTACGAAGCAACAGTTAAGACGTTGGCAGCGGTGAGTGGTTGCGGCGGTGGTGGTGGTTAACGCGGAAAGGAGCAGTCGCAGATTAGTACAATCTTTGGCAGTATTGCTGGCCGTAGCACAAACTGCAGTCGTATGAGTCGTATGAACAATGACAGCAAACACGCGGATTGAGTTTGTAAGAATCATTATTATGAATATTGGCAGTTCACTATATTCTCATTGCCATTGATATCATTAGTACGACTACTAACTCTACTACTCCTATTACTATTGCTACTGCTTCTATTGCTATTACTTTCGCTGTTCTTATTGTGATTGTTTTACAACTACCATCAAAACTTTTCACCTCAGAGGTCGGACTCGGCAACCGCAAGCGAGACTGTGTGCCGTAGCTCTTTGAGCTACATACGGCAGGTCTACTCAGAGCCACGCATACCCCAGGAGCGACCAATCTGGGTGATGGTCTCCTAAGTGACTGAGATTTCGGATTCGGATTCTTGGATGTGAAGCAGAGGCCTTTGCTGGACTAAATGCTAGGGGCACCTCTCCATGGGCATGTTTTACGGGGACCCGGCGACAAAGTAATGCACCGGAAACCGCGAAGAACAGTAAGCATGCAACATGAGCGTCGTGGTCGTAATTACACAGCCTGCTCCAACAATATTGATGCAATCGGTGTGGCTCTGTGTTGGGGATGCTGAGTCGCACTCGTCAGCCGAACTGACCCTAAACTTCAAGCCCTGAACCTGCTTACGGTTTGGAGGTTTTATCTTTCGGCGAAAATCAACAGTGACTCGCATAAGCCTGCGCAGCTTGAACTTTGAAAGCCATTGCACCCCTGGCCCTGCCCGCCCCTCACAAAGCACGAACGCCATGAACACTGAACGCTTGCACCGAGAAGAAGCATTCACTAAATTTCACTAAACTCCCAATCCCCAGCTCCTAGCATATAGACTGTAGTAAGCCGTTACACGACTGCGGCACCTTTCGGCATGGCGATGACACCTGTACATACACTTACCGAAAGAACAAATCGAAGCCTAGCTGGAAGCCTTGTCTAGATGATCCTGGCACAAGGCTGAAAGGAGGCTAAGGTAACTCCCAATCCTCCCATCCCGAAGCCCTCAACAATAAATCCCAAACCATTTATACTTAAACCCTGAGCCAATTTCTGAGATTGGAGCGGAGGGGTTGCCAGATGCTCTCACCTGCTCCTCATAGGCCTGGCTTGCTTCCGATTTCGGGTGTTAACAGTAGCAATCATCAGAAGGCTAAGATCCATATTCGTAATAGCACAACTAACAATGAGAATACCACTGCTCACACCAGTTGTCATGCCAGGAATACAAGCTTCGTTTTTGGGTTTCGTGTTTAGGGTGGGCTTGGTGGGTTTTCGGAGGGTGGCATTATGAGAGGGGGGCTTTTCTGGTTTTGTAGTGGTATTCTGGGGGGGCTTTGGTCTAGAACATGTTCTAGCGATTGGCCAGATGCCGACAGACATGTTGCAATCGTGTGACTGGAACGATCTGCAATTCCGTGTGTGGTTTATGAGAGTCCTGAAGGAATTCGGGTTGCAATGTGTAGGGTTTAGGCTTGGCCGTGTAGAGCTTTACGTTGAGGGTGCAATCCCTCGCTCGCGAATCGAGGTCTTGCAGGTTCACGAAAAGGTGCGGTACTTCCACTGCCGCAGCATGCAGGGACGTCTCAAACCACAACCTAAACCCTAAACCCTAAACCCTAAACGCTAAAACCTAAAACCTAAACCCTAAACCCTAAACCCTAACAAGCGGGTCCTGGAGGCTTCAGGCAGCCGGCCGAGTCTCCGAGGTTTTGAATTACAAAACCCATTGCTGCACGACAGCTCCCGGCACCACGCTGAAAAAGCACCGAAACCAAGAAAGCATGTGAGAGTCTTTTGGGGGGAATCGGGCAACCGGTTAGCAAGAGGAAGCGGTCTTCTGCATGCTACATAAGCCTCATGGCCGAACATAAGTCGGCAGACTTCAGCTCCCCGAAAAAAAATCTGTGTAAGTGTCCGACGCTGTCCGGTCCAGGGAAGGCAAAAGTCGAGTAGCCCGCGCTTGAACACCCAGAAACCTACAGTCTGAAGCCTCGCAGCATGTCAGCATTAGTCAACAGCAGCCACGACTTTGAATCGACGCCCTGGAATTCCACATCGAACTAATCACTCTGTGGAGCCCGTAAACCTCTACCTCTCGGCTGTCACCGCCCCCCTGGCCTGCAGGTACTGTTCCGCGTTTGGCGCCGTCTCGAAGAACTGGCCAACTGCGCCTGGCAGAAGCTCCGATGGAACAAGAGTTTGCCTAGTCTGGAGGCTCATTCTCATGTCGCACCTGCTGCTGCTGTCGTTGTTGCTGTCGTTTTGACTGCAGCTGCTTCTTTGGTCGCATCTGCTCCTGCTGCTAATGAGCTGATGCTCCTGCTATCCGGTTCTTGCTGTTACAGATCCTATTGTGCTTGTGGTAGCGGAAGCTTCGTGTGTTCATGAACTTTGCTCACTCGTTGTTGTGGCTGTCACTTTTACTTTTTGTTGTCATTGCCTGTCTTGCTTTTTGCTAACGTCCGTTATGTGCTATTTTGGTAGTTATTGCTCCTGCATTTCACCGATACGACTGTTGGAGTTAGTGTTGCTGATGCAGCTATTGCTTGTGTTATGATTACACTTTCCTCATCGGCACTCTTTTTGCTTCTGTTATTGTTCTTGCTCGGGATCTGGTTCTTGTCCCTGCTCTTCGTCTTGTCCTTCCTATTAGTCGTTTATGCTGCTTTGCTGTTGTTGCTGTAGTTTTTACTCTCAATACTCTTTTGCCGGCTTGTTGCCGCTCTTGCTCTTCTTGTGTTTGTCACGGTGTTTGCTCCTCCTCTTCTTCCTCCTCCTCAGATTGCGTTTTGCTCCGCTGCCTCAATTGCTCTGGTGGCCAGGGGTTTGCTTTGCTATCTCGAATTCTCTCGTCTCGAACAGTTTGTCAATCTTTCGCAAACGCTGGGTTTCTTTTAAGCGGTGTGGGCTTCTTGTTTAAAACCCTCAACATAAGTCTCACATTCTCGAACCCCTTTCGATTGATTTGCTCCTTTTTTCAAGCATGTCTAATCACTTTCGACACGCTCTGGTCCCTGTCGTCCTCGTTGTCAGATGCTCTACGACCTTGTCGAAGGGTTTGCGCTATTTCTCAGACCGAATCTTTTTTACATTCTCAAGCCCTTGACGGGCGTTTTGCTTCTCCTTCCGAAGGTGCTGCTCTGTGACAAAATCTTCTATCCGTTCTTGGACAACTGGCTGCTTCTTCTCAGACACACCCCAATGCATTTCGAGCGGATTGCTCCTCTTTCTCAAATCCCTGGTCATTTCCCGCGTTTGGCCATGTTGTCAACGTCTCGAGCAATGTTGAGCAAACTGTTCAAATCCTGTTCGAGTGGTTCGCTGCTCTTTCTCAAATTTTCTACTTCCGTTTGAGCGGTTTGCTCCTGTCGCAGACCTTGTCTAATCATTTTGTCTGTGATTCCCTCTCGAGCGATTTGCACCTCTTGCTCAAATTCTTTCACCCCTCTCGAACGGATGGCTTAGCCTTCTCAAAATCTGTAGGTCCCGTTCGAGAGGCTTGCTCCACCCTTTCGAACTGTCAATCACTTCCGGCCGCCTGTCTGCTTCCTCTCAAACTCTCTAGTCCGTTGCTTAGGTCCCCTTCTTCGAAACCGTTTATCCGTGTTCTGGGATCTTCTGTTTTCCGTTGCACGCTTTGCTCTGAGACTGCCTATTCTCTCTCGAACCCTTCGTGCTCCTTTGTCAACTGTTTACTTCCTTGCAAAATTTAAAGCCCCTCGAGTGCGGGCCCCTCCATCATAGTGTGTAGTCGCGATTGAACGCTCCTTTTGCAAAATCTATACTCACAACATGTGTTTCGAGCGGCTTTTGTCTCATTCTCAACAACCTTTCTACACGTCTTCGATCCTGTTGAATGCTCTGTTCCACTGTCTCCAACTCTTCGCCCCTTTCGGCGGTCTGCTCCTCGTTCTCCGATTCTCTTGTCCTGTTCGAAGGATTTCCTGGCTTAGGAGCGGCAGTAGCCCCCTGTGGTGGGAGAGTCTCGAACCCCTTTGACCCGTTTGGCACCCTTTTTCTCAAATCAAGGGTTTGCGAAAGTTCCCCCAGTTGAAACATGTTTCCTGTCATTGCACTACTCCCTTCGGAACGACCTGTTTCCCTCTCTCAGCTTCTCCACTGTAGTCTCTGAGCGACCTGCTCCTTGCTTTCAACTCGTCCAATCGCTGTCGCAAGGCTAATTCCCCTTCATAACACCTCCTAATCAGTCTCGATTGCTTCGGTTACCTGTCTCCAAGGCGCGGGCCACAGGACAACACCAATGCTGCGCGCCTGGCTGTCCGTAAACATACTCTTGCCGCAGGGCCATGAGGAAGCCTTGAGCCACTGGCTCGTGCACGGGGCCTGGCCAGAAGATCTCATGGATCTCATGGGTCACAACTTGAAGGGATTCAGGCTTCAGGACTGCTGGGGCTGCTGCAGATATGCTTAGAATTTGGTCTAATTATAGGGCTTAGTCGCTTCTTTTGACATCCTGGCTCCATTCCTGATCAAAACATTTCTGAGCAGAAAACGTGAGGTCCGCCTGGTTGCAAGATATGGCGATGATGATTGTGAAATAGCTATAATCGTGATTGTGCTGCTTGTGCTTAGATTTGCGAGCTCTACATGCGCCGGTTCATACGAGGAGAGGGCCCAAAGTGAACTTTCGCCCTATCTTGAAAGATATTTGCTGTGATTTACTATGCCACATCATGAGCGTACTGTATAGTATGCCGATATGCTGTATAGTGTTCAGTTGCATGATGTTATCTAAGCATGTTATGTTTTATATTACCTATGTAAACTAGAATGCGCTATGCCATACTATACTATGCTAAACTATACTGAACTAGACTAGGCTGTGCTATACTGTACTATACTATGCTTTGCTATACCCTAGCATGCGAAATTATGCGATGCTATACTATACTCTATACGAAAATTAGTAACCAGTTCGCTGTAATCCAAAGGGGAGCAGGCCTAGTTCGAAAAACCATGGATCCTCACGCAATACCTCGGATCAAAACCAGTCACAGCTGGGCTGCGCACCGCTATACGCATTTCCGACGACGGTGCCTGTTCTCAGATGAAATTTAGGAGCGGCAGTTGGATGCGATGGGCGTTCCACAGACCCTAAACTTGCCCTAAACTGACCCCACAAGGGTGGCACAAACTCATGGAAAGAGGGATACCTTCATCGTTGCTGGAGAGTTGTTGTACTCGCGCCAGATTAATTTGCAATCATCCCGTCATAACCTTTGGCACTGAATGCTGTGAACTGTCAATTACTTTCGTTCAAGGCACACGGGCTTGTCCTGCCACATCACATGGCCCAAGGTGATATTACACTGAATTGCTTAAGCTCTCACGAAGAGGAGTTGTGGATATGTGTGCTTCACTTCAACATAGCACTCTCTTGGATGCAAGCGCTGCGGATTTTTTGGGAAGAACACACATCCAATCCCGAACCCTAAAGCATAAACTCTCAACCCTTGAGCCCAAAACCTCAGTGGGTAGCCCAGAGGTCGTGCTGATAGCCCGACACCTACGAGTACGGGCTTGTTCACGGCCCCTTGAGTGCACATGTCGTAGTTAAGTACAGAGATACCCCCTCGAACGACTGACATAGCTCAACCATCATCTGCTTGCCAGGTTTTCGGTTTGAGCGCTCTGTCAGTTGGCTTTAACAGGACCAACCAATTGCGATGGGCTGTGGCAACTTTATGGCAGGCACGCATACTGGCCCGATAGGATCAAGCCCTGAGGCCCAAAACCTTTAACTACTGAAACACTCCTAGGCATCATATTTCATGCTGTTTATACCATACTCCATGTATCTAGACTGTTTATACCTTTGTCATATCAATACCTATCAGGTTCAATCATTACTATTCTCTTGATGGAACACGGCTCAGCCAATGCCTTGAACATTTGTGAGCCCGCCGCTCTCATGGGTCTTCCCCTTCTTCCTTGCTTTGCGGTGCTTTGCTGGATAGGGTTGAGGGTTCAGGGCTTTAGGACTCATGATCTACATGAAACTGCTGTCTGCTATCTTTGACAACTCCATCTGTTGCCCGCTTCTAGGTTCGTGTGCTGAGGCTTGTCCAGTTTACCCACTTCGTGGCGGAGGCTTGCCGGTGTTGCAGCTTCTCTGGCAATACCAGCATTTAAGACGCAAGCGAAAAACCAGTCCGACACATTCAGCCCTGTCTACGCTGCCCTGACAAGAAATGCGTGAGGCAGTCAAGGAGCAAGCGGCTTCTTATTCGAACTTAAAGTGCCAGCTTGACAGGCAGCCAAGATTCGCAAACTGAGTCTTCCAGACAATCGCAGCAACCATGGTGGCAACCTGGCTTCTGTATCCTCTTCTGTCCGAAAGAAGGGCTGGTTTACGTGTCAATGCCTCTGGGATCCAAAGCCCAAGCCTTCAACCGTCTGTCCTTCTGAAATTTGCCCGCTTTTAGCTCTCAACACCCTCTCCGAAAGCCGGAGCCCGAACAGAACTCGGGCCTGGTTGTCCTGCGAAAGTCTATGTTGACCCATCTTCAGCACAGCAGCAGAAACAGTAGTAGCGGCAGTAGCAGCAAAGGATGCTAACATATTGCAGATTGGCTTCCTGCGCTGCCTGGCCTTAGGGTTGAGGCTTTCCGAGGGTTTAATAGGCCTAGGACCGCTCCAATATACTATGATATACTATAAATAATGTAACATAGCATAAATAATCTAGTACAAAGTGATATAATATACTATAATATGAGCATCTGAGGGCCGGACGAAGACAAGCACTAGTGGTATACCTTGGAGGTCAGGAGGGGTCCAAGACTCTCCAGGCGGGTCCTGATCCTGCGCCCTGTACCCCAACAACTAAGCCCTAAACACTTGACTCCTACACCCTGTAGCATAGGTATGCTCAGGAATTGCGAAGCCTATGCAAGCTTCCGTCTTCTGCAGGAAAGAGAGGGCTCTCGTTTGGCAGCATGTTGCAAACAGTTTGCAAGAAAGCCGACGAATAATTCCCCTCTGGTTCCTTCTGCCCTTGTGAAGCACGGATTCTCTAGTGATGGGGCCCTGGTGCCGATCAATGGCCGCATGGCCACCCACACAACTCCGACGACGCCAAGGCAGCAGGCCGTGGCTGGAACACAGGAGACCTTGTCATGCTTTCTTGCTGCTGGCTTCCCAAAATGATGCCACTCTCAAGCATGAATCAGCTTCGAAACCGTCAACAACCACCGGGAACTCCCGTGCCCGCCTGCCCGGTCCTGCCTAATCAGGGACGACCCTCCATGAAATTTCTGACCACGATTCCGAAAATAAGCTGCGATGCTCATGAGAAGCTCGATACACGCCCTGGTTCACTAAGGGCATGCCAGCTTGTCATACTTGTCCCCCCTCTTCACTCAGCAACAACAGTGTAGTGTAGCTCTCTTGAACCTCATCACGAACACAGATGCGGCCTCACTCCATGCCCAATCACCGGCACCACATCATCACCATCCGGATCATTGTCGGCACCCTCGCGGACATCATCTCCATCAGTATCACCATCATCATCGTCGCGATCATCATCATCATCATCATCATCATCATAAACATAATCATCATTATCATCATTGTCATCAGAGCTTTTTTCATCGCAGCCATCACCATCACCATTATCACCATCATCACCATCACCACCATCACTAACGCCATCATCACCATCCCCACCACCATCATCATCACCACCATCACCATCATACATCAATCTTCAACGTCAAGAACAACATCATCCTCATCCTCCTCCTCGCCAGCCTCATCATCATCATCATCATCATCATCATCATCATCATCGTCCTCACCGTCATCAAGGATGTCAACAATATGCTCGTCGTCGGCATCATCACCATCACCATCACAAGCTCCAGCGCCAGCACTAGCAGCAGCACCGCCAACAACAACACCAGCAGCATCAGCACCCCAACGCCAGCAACGACATGATGATGAACATGATTGTAGGGCTGTTGCTAAGAGCCGATAGTGGCCGCTGCAGCTCATTCCAAAGCGGTGTTGGCTTGAAAGCGCCTGGCCCTTCTACGGGAAAGTAAAGAGTTTCAGAGTGGGCTCCGAGGGATGTTGAAGGGTTTCAGGACGGTTTCCAATGCCACAACGTAGTGACCGTAGTGCCGTTTACACAGATCTGAAACGCTTCAGCCACGTTTTTTTGCCGAACTCTAAGACAAGTTCGAACCACTTCCCAACCCCCAGTAGACCTCGTCAAACCATGTCTAGCCCGCCCCCCCTCCACCCAACCCCCAATCCATCCACCCCGCCTCACCGTGGTTGTGACCACCAGCTCAAGCAGACAACAACGCTTAATTCTTCCGTGAATCTGTTCTTGCTTGCCGAGCTACAGTGATATAGGGGCCTTCATAACTAGCATAGGGTTTGGGGTATAGTATACTTGAGTTGTAATACGGACCCCCAAAACCCTTTTCATTTTATTAAGGCCCATACATTATCCCAAAGGTCAAAGGTTCCGCACTCTAGGCACTTCGGCTATGAGCCATGGGTTGCACACGCCAGTTCAGACGAGAGACAACACAGGCTATAGCCTGGATCCTCGGTTGCCACAGCCACCAACTTCAAGACATAAGTCCAAAGAGCTGCTTGAATCGAACCTTGAACCTTAGCTCCTGAACTCATCCTGCACCTCAAATGATGGCCTCTGCACCAGAAACCCTGAAGCCTCAACTCACAAGCAAGAATGACGGCCGAACTCACGCATAGACTTTAGGCCCTAAGCACCAAACCCTAAAGGCCCTAAAGTTTGGCCCTAAAGCATCTCCTGCAAAGCAGTGCAAAGCAACGTCGGGGAGTGAATGACGGTATCCCGAACTCTAGTCATAAACGCAAATCCTCTCAACCTCCCCACGTAGCTCCACCCCCCTCGACCCTGGGATGCATTGCCGCCATCAGAGACAAGACGTTCCCTCTTCCCAGGATCTACTCCCTAGTAACTCAACCTTCAAGCTTCTGTTCAGACAGAAAGGTCCCTGAACTCTTAAGGTTTAAAACAGCCTTGACGGAACTGTGACCCTTGAAATTCCCAAACCCAAACCCCTAGAGCTTTGGATAAGTACCCTCGGATGAATGGGGTTTCCGAAACTCACGAAAGCTCTGCAATTCTGTTTAGCCTTTGGGCTGCTACCCAAGCCAGAAACCCCCAAAAAGGTTCGGGGCATCTCATGTTCGGTTTTAAGTTCGAGCTTTTTCGAGGTTCTGCTATTTTGTCCTGTTACCTGGGCTCAGGCCTTCGGATGATTTTTAGGGTTTAGGGTTTAGGAACTCTGGTCTGAGTCGGGGAGTCAGGGTCGATCCCGGAGCCCGGGCGACACAAAATCCAGGCACAGGGCACACGGTTGATGATATAAATCCTGCATTACCGACAATAAGGAACATACCATAATTCCCATAGTTTGGGGTCCTTCAGGTAATGCAGGATTTATATCATCAGCAGCAGGACACAATACAGCAACTTTAACCATGAAGCAAAGGCGTTGTGGTACACTCAAGGCTGTTTCCTACGAAACTGAACAAGACACTGACAGGGAACCGTACCCCCGAGCCCGAACCCTGACGATGAAGGAACCCTCAGACGAGCCCCTAAACCCTCGAACCCTATAACCATATACCTTGTACCCTGAACTCCCATAACCCCCCTATCAATCCCCATAAATCTATAACCCCTAAGCCCGAGACCCTCTTGCCGATAGGTCCCAGCTGCATATCTCCCAAGCAGGGCCCGATGCAGGGAATGCAGTCGGCCGCCACCTGCAGAACCAAAGTACATGTCTGGGGGCCTTCATGAATAGAGCCCTTTAGAGGGTTCCGAAGGTAAAGGGATCTATGAGGGCTACCATAACAGGTGGCCTTATTGTTTCGAAGAGGAGCAGATGGGGCTTTAAGGGGGTTTCGCACAGTGTCCTTGATTCTATCATGTCCATATTGTGGGCAAGTTTGGGGTATTCGGGATATCGTCTGCCCTACTTACTTACTTCCCCAAGAAGCCACAGAAACAAAAGATCAAACTTCCCGATCCCTACTAAACCATAAGTTACATAAGAGCCCCCAACAAGCTTTACTGGTGGGGTATTGGGGAACTCCAGGACTTCCTGGACAGCAGGCCGGAATGTCGTGGGGCTCCTTTTTCAGGCGTCTGACGGTTTAGGGGGTTCAGTGGGTTTCGGGGGTTTAGGGGTTTAAGGTTTGGGGTTTAGGGATCAGGATGCCGCTGAAGATGTGAGATCCGTCCCTATGGTGCTTCAGGGCTCAAGAATCAGAAGGGAGGCAAGGGGCATCGGAACAAACCTTGCTTGTCAGTGAGGAGCTGCTGCACGAAACGGGAGGGTTCATGTTCCCCCACATCTTGGTTCAATCGAAGCTTGAGGCTTTAACCTGCGAGGTTTAAACAAGCGCAACTTGAAAGACCAGATGGTGAGGACGCTGAATTCTCTCAAGGGACATCGGGCTCCAAACTCTGCTACTTCCTTCTCCGAGGCCTCCAGAGGGCCCGCCAGCAGGCAGAAGGCGACCCAACAGAGCACAAAGCCAACCACCCTCAGGTTCAGGTCTAGTGGGCTGTAGCTTTCTGTGTGAAAGCCCATGCACTCTCTGCTGGAGCTTGTTGCTACACGTTGCCACAAAATCACACAACCTGCTGTTTTCGATTTTTGTTGTTGCTGCTTCTGTCACTGCGGCTGCATCCGCTCTAGATTCTAGTTGCGCATCGCGGTTGCTTGCTGCTGTGGCTGTGTCAGCGACATGGTATCCTAAGCTCGAATCAAAATTCAACTGAACTGGATGGTCTGTGGTTCGAATCGAAGGATGCCTTGGCGCTTTTTGGCTTGCGGGCCACCGTCCAGCTTCTTTTTGCCCTATGTTTCGTATATGCCATGAGACGGTATCGGCCCCAGGAAGCTATACTTTAGGCCCTACCTTGCCTGGCTTTCAGATGCCAGGTTGCTTGGTGCAGGATGGAAGCTAGCTAGCAGGCTAGTTCGTTGGTTGGTTTGCTGGTTGCCCATGGTAGATCTAATGCAAGACTTGCTTCTTGCTTACTCAACAGTCATCTATGTGAGCAGATACCGAATTAACAACTACGTCTGGATGTCGCACAGCATAGAACAGCGTAGCATGGCGCGGCGTGGTGTGGCATAGCATGTCATGTAAGCGAGTGTGTATGTATGTATGTATGTACATATGTAATTATTAGTAATACACAGTTCATTGTTTTGCTCATATATCATATCATCTGAAGCAGCCACGGAACCGGAGGACCCAGGTCCTTGGAATTGACAGCAGGGAGTCAGCCTTTGGTTCAGACCGTCGACCGGATCTCCCAGAGCCACGAATCCACGAGACTCGAACTACCGAAGCCCAAGGCCTAGGCTGAAAGTTGTCCTCTACACTCCATCAGGGCATTCCGGAGTTCCTTCGTTTTTTTTTTTTTGGGGGGGGAGGTTTCGGCACTTGGGGTGGCTGACGAATCGTCGAGCACTCAAGGCGTGCATCTGCCTCCCCTAGCTCTCCATAGGCACTCTGCTATATAAATCTCGCGTGCTGTAGGATGAACAGTACTTCAACAGTATAGATTTCACAACCTACGAAACACGTTGTCCACCATGTCAGAGCTTTGAGGCCCGGACATCGCCGAGGACTCGGCCTTGGTTTCCGTAGAAGAAGTGAGGCTTTGGATTCAGGATTCACCTCTTCAGGGCTTCCGGGTTGAGTTGCCAAGGCTCGGTTTAGGCTTTAGGGTTTAGAGTGTCACCCTTCAGCCCAAACTTACTAAACTCGAAGCTCCATGCCATGCCAGACACACTGCAGTTTGAAAGATGCTTCGGGTGTTGGGTGGTTGCTAAACTTCAGAATCAAGCTCCTCATCCGGAGCCCCGTAATTACCCTGAATCCAAAAAATCATCAAGCCCTGAACCCTAAACCTCATGTTCTAAACTCCGAAACCATCCAACTACACCTTAAACTCTGAACCCCGAGACCCTAAATCCTAANNAAACCCTACACCTCCAAAACCCTAAACCCTAAGCCCTAAACCGAAACCTCCAACCCTCCTTTCATCTCGAGGTCAAGCTGCGCGCATTGCTTCCCAGACCTGCTCTATGGTGAGAGTACCGGTCCTGAGGGGTGCTGTGGTTTAGGATTGAAGGTTTAGGGTTTGGGGGAGCAAAGGGGTCAGGGTAGAGGGTTTAGGGCTTAGGTGGGTATAGGGTTCAGAGTATAGAATTTAGATAGTTGCTTTCGGGCTTTAGGGGTTTAGGGTTGTGGGTATGGAAGTTGGGGCTAGGGGTTGTTGGTTCAAGGTGCTGACCTTAGGCTTAGGGGTGCTACGGCTTATGTAGGGTATGTGGTAAAGAACATAGAATTCAGTCTTAGCGAGTTTAGGGCTTTCGGGTTTAGGCTTGAGCTTCAATCCTTAAGGCCAGTTGAGGGTTCCGCTCTGGCCCCGGCAACGCAACAAAAGCTTCACAGCTCCACGTCTGGTTGAGGGTGCGAGGTCGGGGGTTAGTATGGTTAGTATTGGGGTCGTAACATCTGAAGCTTCAAGGTGCATGTATGGAATGCTGCTGGCACTTATCTCATCTCGTTCGTCGTCTGCAGCTTGTAAGCAGAATCCGATAATCCTGCCATGGTTGGCTTCGTTTACTCTTTGGTCATGGGCTGAACGGATGAAGAGTTCTGCACGTTCGCGGCATCTTGACGAGGATTTTCTTCCTGATCGCCAGCAGGCTAGAGAGCAGGTGTCTTCCATCCAGCTTCATTGAGATCAGGGAACTCAAACCAATCAATGAATAGCAGCAAGATAGGACCCCAGCTGCAGGTTAAGAGCTTAGAGACAAAAGCGGCAAAATCCCAGATCCCTGTCAACTCGGATCTGGAGTCAATGGCCCTGTTTGGCCCTGCCAAGTGTCCGCAGATCCAAAAGCGTGTAGCCTCGGCTTGTAGCTACAAGGGAGGCTCATAGATACTCCTGACACCCGAAGCTTGCCGAAAATCTGTTCGCATCTTCAAGGTGCTTGGCGTGAAGTGAGCATTGCAAGAGGGTCCAGTGACCAACGCCATCTGGTTGTCCGGGCCCACTTTAAGTTTGTGCCATTCCGCTCGGAGAGCCAACACACTTTCCCGCATCGCTTCGCTAAACAACGTCTCGCATCGGGACATGCCCGACAGTAAGCCCGAAGCCCATCCTACGAGCATCCTCTAGCTGAGAACGTCATTGATAGCCTGAATCTGGGTAGGACTCTTTCAAAAGCTACCAAAAGCCAGCGCTCGCACGGCGAACGGTTTCTTTTCGATCTGTCCAGGATCAAAGGTCTCTTCATGAGGACGAGGACGGCGCTCTCTCTCACACAATACCCGTATCTCTCGCTCGCTCTGTGTCTCTCTTTTGGTTCCTTTCTTTCTGTCTTTCCTTCTTTCCTTCTTTCGTTCTTTCGCTCTTTCTTTCTTTCTTTGTTTCTTTCTTTTCTTTCTCTCCCTCTCTCTCTGTCTCTCTGATCTGGTCTTCGAGCCGCGGGGCCGGAGCACAGCCAAGAGTCTGGGGCCGTCCAAGTCTGGCGCAGCAGGAGAGGCGGGAGAAACTAAGGATGAATTCAAGCGTTCAGTGCAGGTTCGAGGTTCTGACAGACGTAGCACATTTCTATATATATATATATATATACTAATATAAATAATATAGAAATATACATATATATATATATATGTATAGTGTTCATTTCGAGGGTAAACATCACGTACCCCTAGAACCTGTAGCAAGGTCCGAATGGTTGGCCTCATCTTGCCTTCATGATAAACTTGAGCATGTCACGGGCACCCAAGGAGCCAGCTTTAGGCGATCACTCGGAGCAATGGAAAACTTATGGGCAGATCCGCCAGCCTCGATGGTGGGATTTGCGTTTTTGCCCAAGACTGTGACCTTCCTCAGCGTGCGGGGGCGCTACAAAAATTCAGGGCCTGAGGCGCCTGGAGATGGGAGGCCGATCTAGGCATCTGTGGAAGCCAGGATGACAACAAGACGAGGAGTCATCCACGGTCGGGGCTCAAACCTCCGATCGTATCCTCCGTCCATTTTTCCGCAGCCTTCAGTTGCCTCCAAGAATGAAACCGCAAAGCTAGTGCAACAAACGTGGCATAGGCATGAATACCGAGGCTTGCATTGCGGGTTTTGACTAAGATGCATCCCAGAAGCACTCGCAAGGCTTTCCGAACAGCCAGAAAATTCCGTGGGTTCAACTTCAACTCTTTGCATGTCGCGTGCAAAGCACTGTTATGCGTCCATAGCCTGATATGCCTAGGTGCCCCGGCGAACCCCTTGACGTTGTTCTGTGTGGAATGTTCAAGGATGCAGAAGTCGGCTTTCGGTTCGGGGTGCCGGGCTCTTCTAGCAGAATCGGTGAATGGCCAAGAGTCGCAGCCGAAGTCCAGTCAGTCCCGAAGAGCTTAACTCGCATAGCTCCAGGTGCCATGGATGTGCCAAGGCGGTATCTGGAGGTTTCATAAGAGTTCCTGGGCTTGCGACAGGCTGTTGAAATTCCGGGGACCTCTGTCTAAGATGCAATGCAAAGATCTTCATCGTTGGTTAGTTATTCGAGCACCCTATATCTATGTGTGAAAGTATCAGCATGCAGGTACCAACGTACATGTCAGTCTATATATCTGTGTTTTTGCATACTTAGGCGTAAACGCATATTAAAATGCGACAAAATCTACAGACTTTGTATTCTATCTGTCTTTCTACCCTTCTACTCGAAAATTCAAAACCTCTACCTGCTAATATATCCAAGTGTTCATATATATATATATATATGTACCTACGTGGTTGTCACAAGACACCTTAACTAACAACATGTCGCCCTCACGAGTTGCCTCACCTTTTTGCCTCCGAACACAAACTTCAAACCGGAGCGGCGGGAACCCGCCTGACCTTGCAAAGAATCAAGCTCGCTTTGTCCGTACTTACCATATTGATCCTGACAACAACGGTACTGCAACGGTCATATAAACGTAACAGAATTGAGAACAATCGCGGTCTTGGAACCAGTGGTGCTGACAGTAAGAATAAGAACAATAACAATCATAACAAGTGCCGCACTTTGCTCCTTGCATGGTCCAACGTTCCTTGCACCCCTCCACCACAGGTGGGCCGGGCTCAACCTCGTAGAAGTAATCGTGGGTGGGGGAGGGGAGGGGGGGGGTATCCTCAACACTCTAAACTGAGTTGTCAAGCCTTCCACTCTGAAGCAACTTGAGCCCCGTGGTAACCCCCTGAACGGCCCTAAACCAAAACCGCAAGAGCCTACTGCCCTCTAAACCTTACAAAACCCAGAAGGCCCCCTAGGCCCTAGGTAACAGTCCCAGGGACGAGATCAGACTCCATCCAGCCGGCGTGCTCCCAGTAATTGGTGTCGACAGCGGCACGCTCCCGAGTAGTTGCCTGGACTCTAGGCTTCAGGGTTTAGTGTTCTCTGATATGGCATTCGGGTTCCTTAGGTGTTAGGCTTCAGATTTTTAGAGCATAGACCTGAAGTTTTAAGTCACTCTAGCTTTGCTTCAAGAGGTGTCGGCCACTTTGGGCTATCCTGATTCTGATGGCAGAGCGGCTAACGGTCGAAGGGTGAACGGTTCAAGCTGCAAGCCCGAGGCAAATCGCACCCCAATGCTCGACAAAGCCTAAATAGGAGGCGACAAAACGGGCAACAAGAACAATACGGTGATGAGGAAGGGATGATGATGATGGACATTGGCGACTAGTGATTGTGATGAGAATGATGCTTTCGTTTGTGCTGCTCCTCCTCCCCTAGCTGCTGCTGTTGCAACAGCAGTTGGCAGTTGCAGCGGTGTGGTGGTGGCGGTGGTTACTGCTAGCGTTGCATACTAGTATCACGGGCGTTGCCATTACCATCATCAGCCTCCTCTTCATCATGATCACGAGCCTATCTTCCCCAACATTAGTCAGTCTCGCCTAGTTATTTTCGACGAAGCTCTCAATCAAGTCCTACACGTCACACCCTGAGCAGTGAACCTTATACCGGTTCCAAGCGCAACGGTCCCGCAGAGAATCGCTGGCACCCGTTTCGACATCCCGCCCGCTGGAAAACGAGACGGCATGTATGCGTTTTCGGCAAGATGCAGAATTCATGATTTGGTCATGAAAACATGATACTCGCAGCACGAAGCGGCATCCGGAGTAAAAAGTGAACCACCGTCACTGTCAAGCGATGCTACCAACATGAAACCTAGACCGCCAACCATGGGCACGAGGCTAAACTCCAATCCCACAACTCTTATCCCGAAGCTGTGAACCTGCACAAACCCACCGCTTGCGAGTCCTTCACTCACTTCTTGAGGCTTGATTACTTGTCGATAGCATGATAGTATAACCACATCATCATCATCATCATCATCATCATCATCACTGAACCACCACCAGAAACAGAATAGAGCAAGCTGAACGGTAGTAGTGCAAACATGACCAACCTGAACCATGCTAGTCATAGCAGCTTCCTGTCAAGAGAGCACAACGATTCTACGCCTACTGCAAATATCGGCCGCGCGGCGGCGTGAGGCTCCAAACACCGGCTAGGGCCGAAGGCGCGTAGTAGGAGCCCGTCCGTGGCACCTGCTTTCAGGGGTCTTAATAATCAAAATGGACTTGCCACAATAGGGGACAATACTGCCAATGAAACTGCCCAGACCATAAATATGCTGGTAAGTGTGAAGATCTCAGTATCACTGCTTAGACAGGCACTTGATTCGAGGCTTCGAATGTGGATGAGATCTTGAAGGGCCCGTCTGTCTGTATCTACCCGACGGAGTACACATGCACATGAGGATGTATATGAATGCATGTATACGCACACATACATGCATATATACATACATATCAGAGAAAGGGCAGACAGGCAGGCGTAGGCAGGCAGGCAGGCAGGCAGGCAAACAGACAGACAAATGGGCAGATTCCATAAGGCACACGGACACACTTGCACGAAACAACTACACAGTTTAAACAATAAACTGAAACGTACAGCAGTGTAGGTGATATATACATGCAGATAGATATACATATGTAGGCTTGTATATGGCTCGACATCACGTAATACAGTGTTTTATATCCGTACATTAAAGACATCCATCCATACATCCATACATGACCTGCCAAGCTCCAAAGCCCTTAGTGGCGCATCCGTGGCGAAGTCCCAAACACCCCTGCCTGTGCCGGCCAGGTTGGGTTCCTTGGTCTTTCGGTGTCATCCCGAAGTGTTTCAGAAATTTTAGGGTTTAGGGATGGATGAGTTTTTTTGTTTTGATAATGTCGGGTTGAGAATTAGTTTTGGATGGTCCAGGTCATATGGAGATGACGCGGGGGCATTGTCAGAAATTCGTCAGATCTCATGACCAGGGCTTCGGGAGGGTCCGAAACGACAGTATCACCATGAATGAAGCCCGGCCGTCACAGCTTCGGAGTTTTCGTTTCTCTGCTTTCGGCTTGTGGATGTGGCTAGGAAAGGGTGACCAAGGAGCTGTTACATGGAGAAGACCGACCAACACCCCGATAGTGAAAGGTTTGAAGTCAACTTAGTGAAGGGCGACTGTCGGGCTTCAATCGTGCGGTGACTTACGGTTTTCGGAGTTTCACGACTTGGACAGGGGCATAAGCTTCTACGGCATCGCTGACTGATTCACGATGTGTTGTGGAGCTGTGGTCCAGCTGGGTTAAGCTATCGTACCAAAGGTCAAAGGGTGTCAGGGCCGCAGGGATTTGCGGTGCAGAACTTCATATAGATGTCCGATCTTTTCTGCCCGCGCAGCAGCAATGGGAGATGACTTGGGCTGTCTGGAAATCAGGGCTTGGCGGTTTCAGGTGATGCGGTCGGAAGAAAGCATGTAAGACTACTTTGCTCACAAGCTCTGCAATCTTATGCTAACTGAAGCTGTGCCAGCCCCTCATTTCCATCTGCCAGCGTGATCCTTCTTCCGAAAGAAGGCAGCGCATCTGAGCACTCTGGCGGTCAGAAAGTTGCTCAAGGTTTAGGGTTTAGGGTTTAGGGTCCTGAAACGGCGCGGGTTCACTTGAGCACAGATTCGTCCATGATGTTGTAGCCTGGGCTAGGTCACAAGGCTTGCAGGCAATGGCTTGACCACTGATGCAGCTGCATAAAGCAAGTTGCCCAGTTACAGGGATGCATCTGTTTCTACTTCTGTACTTGTTCCGTATGCATACATCGTACACACACTTTCAAGCTTAGAAGGCCTCGCAGACCGGGTCCAGCAGTCCTGCAAGCCCTCAGTGACGCACTCAGCCAAACAAGTGAGCAATTCTCTAAATTAGGGTCCCGTTTGGGGTCCCCAATATAGTACGGCACCCTTATACAAAGGACCCCAAAAGGGACCCTAATTTAGAAAACTGCCCAAGTGAGCAACTTGGTTCCTTGCCGGAGGGTGGGGTTACTCGCGCCAAGGCGGGGATCCGCTCCGGAAGCCAGTTTGGAATCATTGAGAATGCGTTGACCCGCCCGTTGGCTATTTTCAGAGATGAAGGAAAGAATGTGCTGGCGGCAAGTGGCCTAAGGAAAAGCTAGAGTTGATTGTTGCATAGAACAGCATGGTGGAAAAGTGCCTCGGTAACAGAACACCCCTCCGACCGTCAAGGAAGGCAATTTGATATCCACGTCGATTAGGCTACCTCTCGCGGTTTCGGCCCTAAGTCCCTAAGTGCTGTTTGAAGTACACGCACTCCCTTGCAATCTGAGCATAGGGTTTAGGGGTTTAGGATTTAGGGTTTAGGGTTTAGGGGTATACCTGATGTACGGATTCTGTTGGCTTCTCTCTCGTCTGACCAGACAAATAGAAGCCCTTTACAGGTAAGTAGTTACAAGGTGG